CAGTTAAAAAAACTATAGTAAAATATACACATAATATACACTTAAGTGTACAGTTCATACATACATGTCACATTTTGTTTATCCATTCATCTATGAATAAACACTTTTTTTTTTGAGACAGGATCTACGTATATGTCACTGTGCAGTAAAATCTGGCCTTGAACTTGGAATTCTTCTGCCTCTACATCCTAAGTACTGAGATACCAAGGGTGCATCAACCACACCCAGCCATCAGTGGACACTGAAGTTGCTTCCACTGTCTGGCTATTGTGAATAACAGCAATTATAACAAATATCTTTTCAAGACCTTGCTTTCAATTATCTGGGGCATATATCCTGAAGCAGAATTGTTGGGTCATGGTACTGTAATTCTATTTTTTGTTTTAAAGAATTTCCACAATGTTTTCCATGCAGCTGTTCCGTTTAATATTTTTTTTCTTTTCTTTTTTTTTTGGTACTGGGGATCGAATTTAGGATCTTGTGTTTGTGAGGCAGGCAGTTGAACCACTGAGCTAAATAATCCCCAGCCACCATTTAATATTTCTACCAACAACGTACAAGGTGTCTAATTTCTCCACATCCTCATGAACACATAGTCATCCTAATAACAGCTGTGAAGACCTATCTCACTGTAGTTTTGATTTGCATGTTTTTAATTAGCAATGTTGAATACCTTTTTGTTTTTTGGCTATTTGTGAATCTTTAAAGAAATGTCTATTTAAGTCTTCTTCCTATTTTTTACTGGGTTTTGTGTTGTTGATTTGTAGGTTTCTTACTAACTCACTGAGGCTGGGCTGAAATTTTCAGTCATCTTGCCTTAGGTGTGCACCATTATGCCCAGCTGGTATTTAATTTTCTTGATTCTATTAGAATTTACTGTATTTTTGTAACTAAGATGTATATACAATTTTATTTTTTCTAGATGTGCCAGTATAGAAACCTAAATGATCCACTTTTCCTACTAATTGAATGATTATTCTTTCACATTAAATTCTCCTGAATTCTACTATTTTTAGATACCTATCAGAGTTTCCAGATATTCAAAATTGTCCTGTCTTTTCCCCTTTTCCCCCCAGGACTGAGGACAGAACCCAGGGTTTCACACATTAGCCAAGCACTCTGGCACTAATCTGCATCTCCAGCCACTTAAACATCTTTTTAAAATTTTTATTTTGCGGCTCTCTGAGTTGCCCAGGCTAGGTTCGAATTTGTAATCTTCTTGCTTCAGCCTTTTGAGTAGATGTGCTTACAGGCATGCACTATCATGTTTGGCTTGCCCCAGTTTTCTTGACAATCAGGTGTTCCTACTTATCTGAAGATTAATATTTTCTTCAACACGGGGAAATTTTCTTAGTTCTATAAACAGTTTTCCCATTTTGCATTATTCTTGGGTGGATTAGCACCGCCCCCCCACAACGTGTGCCAGTTTTGAGAGTTTCTCTCCTTCAGTTAGTTGCCCAGGGTAGCCTTAAACTTGTAATCTTGCTGCTTCAGCCTCCCAAATAACTGGGATTACAGTTGTGTGTAATCATTCTGCTAACCTCTACTTTCTGCCTCGCTGGATTTTTCTTGACTTTCATGAAACATCTAATATTCAGTTCCACTCCTGTTTCTCATCTTGGCACTCATGCAGAACTCTCCAGGCAGAAATTTCATTTTGTCAAGAAAATAACTCTCAGAGCTTTATCATGGGAAAACTCCTAGAAACCCTTTACTTTATACTGTACATCCTAGGAAACTCAAAGGGACCCTTTGTGGATGACTCCAGGAGGCTGCATTCACAGCTCTCTGGACTTCTGCAACAGATGGCTGACTTTGGACTCAGCAGCCCATTATCAGATGATTCAAATTATGTGACAAGCATTTTTAAAATTTATCTTTTCAAATTCAGAACTCAAACTTTTTTTGGGGGGATCTTATTCACTCTGGTTCATCATAAGGCTCACAACTAACATATTTTCCACATATTCTTTTTTTTTTTTTCTTTTTTTTTTTGTACCAGGGATCAAACTCAGGACCCTGTACTTGAGAGGCAGACAACAGAACCACTGAGCTAAATCCCTGGCCCTCCATATTCATTTAAATACTTATTTGCCTGGCTCCTGAAGACATGATTTTCTTCTATTGCCAGAAGTTCTATGATTAATTACTATTCCAATATTGCTCAAGAGGCAAATCTTGTTCATTGTAGCTGCTGAACAGGTTGTATGGTTTATGAGCATTTAGTTGAAAATAGCTCCCACATGGATCTAATTCCTAATTCTGTTTTGCTTCTTTCTTTTGGCTTACTCACTTACAGAATCATGCATACTCTTTCATGAATTTCCCAAATTTTCAGTCTTCTCACAGCATCCTAACCTGTTTTTTATATTTTACTAATGTATTTTTCATATAACTTTATTGGCATTTCAATATAAATTTTGGGACAAAAATGTAAAAGTAAGTGCTAGATCTGCAATCTTAGACTACAAATCTGAACCTTCTTTAAAAAAATAGTGAATTTATTCAGTGCTTGATTTCATTTACTATTAGTGCAGTAGGTTCAACTGCCCTCTGCGCCTGAGTGTTCAGGACTAACAAGTATTCTCACCGAGGAGCTGTTGTTCACTATTACAATTTTACTTAAAATGTATTGTACTGGGCTGGTGATTTAGCTCAGCAGTTTGGTGGCCTGCCTTGCAAGCGCAAGGACCCGAGTTCAATCCCCAGTACCAAAAAAACACAAAAAAATGTATTGTACTTATTAAGACAATGTATGCAAAAAGCTTACCACAGAACTTGGAATATGGCATAGTAAATGCTTAAAGAATACATTTAAGTACTAAGAAGAACTGAGTGAGGAAAGGGAGAAGAAAACTTTAAGAAAAGGGTTAGGATATTTATACAAAAGGAAGAACGGCAAAACAACATTCTTGAAAGAGTTCAATACCATAGATCTGTTTACTGACTATTCATGAACTTTCCTAAAGTTCTTAATACTTGCTGAGTACTGAATGTGAATAGTTAAGCTGAGAGTATAATGGATAAGAATAAGTCATTTATTTAATGTAAGCCTAGGCAGGATTATAAAGGCAAATTTAATCAACTGCCTACTACAGTGATGGCAAACCTTTCATAGCTTTCAATGATACAAACAGAAAGTTGTGACCTATGTGCCACAGGTTTGCCACCAATGATCTAGTCCTTTTTTTTTTTCTTTTTTTTGGTACCAGGGATTGAACTCAGGGCCTAGTGCTTGCAAGGCAAGCAGCGGCACCACTGAGTTAAATCTCTGGCCTCCTAGTAGTTCTTTAATTATAATCATTTTGTATTTCTAAAGTGGCTCATCTGTTTTTATTGCTTTTTAAAAGGGAAAATTTTAAAATTTAATGGTAGTATTTTTGAGTTTAAGGATTCCTCAGGCTACTTTATAAATATGGAAAAGCTAGGTTACCCTCATCCTTTAGTCTTAGAACTCTGAAAAGTGACCTGTTAACGCCCCCAATTTTATTTAGTGAAGCCACAAACTCACACAATTACTAAGTTTAGCAGAGCCTGAATGGAGCAAGAATACTGTGGAGAAGAGAGGGGGAAAAGCCTAGACCTTGAGGATGCATTTCCCCCTTCTGCTTATAAGTACAGGAATAAAGAATTCATTTCAGATCCACTGTGGATATGATGTCTGCCACACACAAACTGTGATGTAACAGGCCACCTGAAAGACAGGATTTCTATCCATAGACAATGTGCATATAATTTCACCTTATAGTCCCCCTTTAAGGGAGCACCCATGGAAAGACTGCTTAGAAATTTACCATCTAGATATGGGGACAATAATGTTAATTCTATTCTACATATTAGAAAAGAAACAGTAGGAAAATGGAATTTAATTAGGCAGTAATTCTATAAAATGAATAATCTAGAGTCTATTTTATTACAACTACTTCTTCTCTGTGGAAGAAAGGGCAGGAAAAATATGCATGAATGAATTTCTGATAATACACGATTCCTTTATTTCCTAAGTAAGATCAAAATCTATAGGCTAGTAAGTAGCAACTCTGTTAGTTTTTTTATTATGGTTTATTATGCAAGAATTCTTATTCTGGGGAGGGTATAATTCTTTTATAATTTTTTTTAATCAAAAGGGCATTTTTGGAACACTGAACAATAGTTGTACTTTTCTGTTGTCTTAGAAAAAAATTACTCTGATCAGTTGATTTAGAATTTAAAAAAAAATAAATGTTAAAAGCCAACCTTCACATTAAAAAAGCAGTGATGTGGGCTAGGGATTTAGCTCATTGGTTCCACCGCCTGTCTCCTAGTGCAAGGTCTCAAGTTTGATCCCCGGTAGCACCCCCTCCCCAAAAGTAGCGATGCCTATGGATACATTACTTATTAGGTCTCTGGTCTCTTGACAATATCTATTGTACTTGAGGATTAGAGGTCATCTATAATTCTGTAGACTTCACTGCTTTGAATGTTTCTTCCATTGTATGCTGTTACAGTAATGATACTAATAATCAACAATAAGAAGTTGTGCAGACAAGAGGAAAAATATCAAGCATACTGAAAACTCAACATTAGTAACAGAATGGAGATTTCTTAAGAGGTAAGAAAGATTACCTGAAATATATTATTAAATAAAAACAAGGCTCAAGTCTTGAAACTATCTCATTCTTAACTAACAGACTTAATGGTCATTAATGTTTGGTAGGTGGGTTGAACTGTCAAATCTGACAATGTAATTTGTTTTTTCTTTGTTTTTTGGTACCGGACTAAACTCAGGACCTGTGCTTGCAAGGCAGGTGCAGAGCCACTGAGCTAAATCCACAGCCCATGACAATATAATTTGTTTTGGTTAGGAAATACAGATTTTGGAATCAATTATGTCTTTCCCATTCTTGCTTGAAATGGACGCTTCCATCTGCATGGCCTCTGAGTGTAAAATGGTAACATTAATTTTCAATAACTACTCCTGAAACAGACAAATAGCAATACGATGACATTAAAGATTGACTCACCACTGTCCTCTGTTTGTTGGGCAGGAAGACTCTAACAATAGGTTTTTGTGGTGACTTGGGGTTGCTCCGTGATACATCTGTAGGATTTTGAAAAACTGAAAGAGATGAAGGTAGCACTGAAAGGCTAGAAGAGGAAGAAGATGTAACGGTGTCCATTGATGCAGAGCTAGAAACAGAAAAATCAGTTCCATTCCCGAGGGATTCCAATAACTGCTGTTCTCTTTGTTGGAGGGCATCTAGCTTGCTGGTGTATTCTTCATAGGCCTATAAAATAAAGTAGACTAACATTGAATCTTTAATTTGTCCTGGCATTAACAAAAGAAATTATGATATTTCAGTCTTTGATTATAATTTTCTTATAATCAAGCTAGCAGAGTTTTAAGTTAGAGGTTATAAAGTACTGAAAATACCATTAATTAATACTACATTCCACTAAAACCTTACATATAGGTGACATCTAGATGGTCCCTGAATATTAATTTAAAAAGCATAGTATTTTCTAAGTTTCTGATCCATTAATAATTTACCAAACCATATGTCTAGCATGAGACAAAATAATATACTATATCAAGGATAAATGTATCCTTTTCTACTAAATTTTATTTTCTGGAAAAGTTGTAGGCACGAAACCAGCCATGGTGCTGTACTCTTGTACCCAGCACTGGGGAGGCTAAGGCAGGAGGATTCTGAGTTCAATGCCAGCCTGAGCTACATAAGAAGTTCCAGGCCAGCCCTGACTACAGAGCAAGATTCTGTCCAAAAAAAAGAGTTGTAAACATATAAAGTTCTCTCCCTCTCTCTGAACATTAGTAAGAGTCTGAAAAGGAGATGTATTAGGAAAGACAAGACTATGGTCTATAGTGTCATAGCTCACTGTTAGCACTAAAACTTCCTCAAAAGGGTTTAGAAGATGTGTTAACTGCTACCTTCTTTCTGAAATAGCTGTTAGTTAAAATATTTTATTTTTAAAACACACACACACACACACACACACATTTTTTTCCACTACAAATCTGCTTAAAGAATAAGAACCTACCTGGCAAGCACAAGGTCCTGAGTTCAATCCCCAGTATCAAAAACAAAATGAAATAAAATGTGGCTTCCAATCCACAGTCAGGAAATTCTAGGGGAACTATCCATCAGGGCATCCTCACAGAAGTTTCATTTGAAGCCGGGTGTGGTGGCACATGCCCGTAATCCCAGCACTTGGGAGGCTGAGGCAGAAGGATTGCTATGAGTTGGAGACCAGCATGGGCTACATAGTGAGTTCCAGGTCAGTCTCAACTACATAGTGAGACCCTGTCTCAAAAAACCCACGCCCAAAAAAGAAGAAGAAGTTTCATTTGACTATGGGTATATGGCCAAATGACCATCCAAGATACCAAACTCCAAAGGAACAGAGTGGTGACGCTGAAAGCACACAGATGGAATGTGTGGAATATGTGTCCATAGTTCTTTTTTTTTTTTTTTGGTATTGGGGATCAAACGCAGGACCTTGTGCTTGCCAGGCAGGTGTGGCACCACTGAGCTAAATCCCCAGCCCACCATAGTTCTTTAAGACAGTGCCAATCCCTTCACTCATGGCAGACATCCCAGACAGATGTAATCTCCTACCATCCCAGACAGATGTAATACTAAAATGTTAATGAAAGGCCACAAGGAAAAGTTTAATATGATTTTAATAATAAAAGTTTAATACAGATTTTAATATGGCATTTCCTGTCCATCAGCAAGTTTATAATTAGGGTATGGAGAAGCAGAGGGCTGTATTTTAATTTACACTGTGTGTATGTAGTACACATGAGAAATAAACTCCACTCTTGACATCAGAAAGGTGAGGAAGGAGTGGGGCCAAGAATGGCTGGTACTTGGATGGAGGAAATGGGAGAATCCTTTGCACAGGAGTAATATGTAGCAAAATAAGGAAGTGGAAACATACTTAAGACAGAGGAAAAACTATAGACTAATTGAGCAAAATGCTATATAATACATGGGACTGAGTAAGGGATCAAATGTGCATGTAGAATTTAAATGAAGAACAGGTATGCAGTGGAACAAGACTCAAATGGAGGTAAGGGAACAGGTTGCAGAGTGGATACGACATGCTATAAAGTGCAGACTTCATTCTGCAAGCAAAGGAGAATTATCAAAGGTAGAGAAGAATGAAAGAGAAATTTAATTTCAATAAAGACCACAGAGCTCTGATGTGCTGTATCTTTCCACATTACTTTGAGGAAGCATAAAAAAGGAAAATACTAAAATGAAGTACTGAGGTAAGGAACCTAAACTGCATCAAAATGCCCTCTCCTTCCTTACAACCTATAAACCATCCTCTGATCTTAAACTGTTGCATTAGCATAGTAGGGTATTATAAATAAATCAATTCAATTTTTTTCTGAGCTGTGATTTTGTTTAGCTTTCATTTCCAATGACTAATTATGGTATCTCTCTAAACATGATTCATTTATCAAGTCTTTAATCATTCAATAAACATACACTGAGGGCCAGGCATTTAGCTCAGTGGTTCTGCTGCCTGCCTTGCAAGCACGAGGGCCCAAGTTAGATCCCCAGTATCAAAAAAATAAATTAATAAAAAAAAATACATTGAGCATACAAATGCCCAGCACTGTGTAGGGCTCTCATTTAAAGACTGATCCACTTTTCACCCTCTGAAGGTTATAAATATGCAGTCTAGGAAACAAATTCCTGTTCGCATAATCAAATATTCTTATTTACATTCATCTGGGCAAGTACATTTACTATATAAAATTAGCCTCAGGAAAGTTAACTGAAACAATGAATTTCCCAAATGTTATTTTCTTATCAAAATATTAGCTTTTTGAAAATACGCTGGCTCCTCCCTTATGGATTACTAGCATTTCGCTGCATTTATCAACGCTATTTGTCAAGAACAAATGCATGCTTATTCTATCCCCTCATCCTCTTAACTGCAGTCTACCAAGGCACTTGGCTTATCTTACCTCCTTATCCTTTCTACATTCCGTGTGAATTCTGATTATTCTTTTAGTACTCCTCCCTTAGAGCTAACAAATCCTACTGTAAGGGTATTTATTTCCACCCTATCTTCAAGACTTAAGAGACACACACAACACAATCTTTACAATCTGTAACTTTTCATATCCCTGCACCACACACTTACTCCAGCTTGTTAAATAAATAAACATATCATTGTCACATTAATCTGTTCAGGTCAGCATTAGTCCATTTCTCAGATTTGAGCCATCATTATCTTCCTTCCTATACTGTCTAGCTCATCACTTCAATGATGCCCTTACTAACTAAAAATTTCAATTCTCTGGCAAAATTTTTTTTCTTTTCCCTTTTACGGAGACAGGGTCTTACTTTACTATGTAGCCTATGCTGCCCTTGAACTCATGATCATCCTGCAGTCTCCCTGGGACTTAAGAGACATGTAGTACCACTCCCAGTTTCTAGTACTTCTTGTTCTTTTATCAAAAAATTGCCAAATACCAACTTTAGGTAAATCCTTTTGTTCTTTTATTCCATTTTCCCCCCTCAAGCTACCCACACAATGCTAGAGAAAATTAAAAAACAAAACAAAACTAGGCCAGTTAGTTCCATTATCAATTCACAAACTCAGATTCATCTGATATTTCACAATGCTGTGTGAAATATTTTATGTATTTTTAACCACACAGCACATTCTTCACAATACTTATCCCAACCTCTTCTGTTTTTCTCTGGATCCCAACTTCATCCTCCAAACCTTATTAACTCTGAAAAAAAAATTACCTTTAAATTTACCCTAAATAAATTCATCAAATGTTTCTTTGCCTAAACAACTTTGCACATCTTTCCCCACCCCTCTGCTACTCTCAATTCAGGGGCAGCGCTAAGTGTGGCCTCTACTCTGGTGGCCCTGGCCCATCATCATATTCATTTTCTCTTAGATTTTTCAATTTTCCTTTTCCCCTGTTTCCTTAAATCTATAAATGTGAAAAAGTCAGTCCCACATAAACCCATATTTCAACCACCAAAAACAATAAAATTCCTTTGGGTCCTTCAAATGGTGCAGATAACCAAGTATTTCTCCAGGATTCAACTTTTCAAAACCCCTACTTCTCATCAAAGTTCTATTTATTTTTCAAAGTTTAACTCTAAGTTCTTCTTGATAAAAATCAAAATGTTATCCTTTCTTTTTATTCTAGAGACTACCACATTTTTATCCATAATAATTAGTAGTGAAAAAAAAGCACTAGTAATTCTTTCTGTGCTTGTTATTTTTATTTACTGGATTACTTGGCTGAGTTCTTGACATGATGCTCCTAACCTGTACAGCAGCTGAGAGCACAGATCACATCTTTTTTTTTTTTTAATAAAAAAAGGGACATTCTGAGAAGATTTAGTGTCATTTAAAGGACATTTCCCAAGTTTATCTACAAGTCCTACACTGATATTATCAAAATCCCAGTTTGCTTATTTTTATAGAAACCAACTGATCTTGAAATTCATATGGTAAGTAAAGGACTCAGAAAAAACAAAACAATCTTGAAAAAGCATTAAACTGAAGCATGTATACTTCTTTCAAAATTTACTAATAGCTGTAATAGTCAAGACAACTGACTTTCAACAATGGTGCGAAGATAAGTGAACAGGGAGAAAAATGGTTTTTTCAACAAATGATATTGATACAACTGGATAGTCACAGACAATACAATGAAGTTAAACTATTACCTAGTATCATATTCACGTTTACTCAAAATGGAGCATACACTCAAAGACAGGAACTATAAAACTCCTACAAGAAAACATGAACTCTTACAACTTAGTAACAGAAATACATATAAATCCTCATTTTATTTATTTTTTTATTTTTTGGTACCAGGGATTGAACTCGGGTCTTTGTGCTTGCAAGGCAGGTGGTGCAACCACTGAGCCAAATCCCCAGCCCTAAATCCTCATTTTAAAACAGGCAAAAGAGTTGACTTTTTTTAATGAAAGGTTTTTTTAAAAACATAAATAACTACTTACATGGTTTCCTAGTATCATTAATCATTAGGGAATTGCAAACTAAAACCAAACTGAGATACCAATCCATGCCTACTGGGATGGTTGTAATAAAAATAAAATGGAAAATAGTAAGTGTTGAGTCCATTGAGAAACTAGACCCCTCCCACATTGCTGGGGGTAATGTAATAGTACAAAGATTCAGCAGTTCCTCAAAAATGTAAGCATTACCTCAGTACCGTACAATTCTGTATCTAGGCATACAACCAAGAGAACTGACAAACATGTTTTCACAAAACCTGTACATGAATTTTCACTGCAGAATTACTAGTAATATCCAAAAGGTATAAATGGCCCAAATATTCATCAGTTGATAAAAGGATAATGGTGTTATCTCATGATGAAATATTTATCCACAAAGCAAAATGAAGCACTGATACATACTACATGATTAAACTCTGAAAATATTATGCTAAGTAAAAGCAACCAGTCAGTCATAAAAGACCACACAGTGTATGATTATATTTATAAAAAGTATCTATATAGACAAATTCATAGAGATGAAAAGTAAATCAATCATTTCTCCGAGCTAGAGGAAATGAATGCTAATGGATAAACATTTTTATTTTTGGGGGTAATGAAAATGTTTTGGAGTTAGATAGTGGCAATGATTATATACACTTTTTAAAAGTTGATCTGATGTGTATTATTTTTCAATTAAGAAGGAAAAAAAAAACTCAAGGGTCTACTTAATTTTAATATAAGGAAAAGGTAAAATAAAACTTTTATTTATTGTTTAGTTCACTAAATTTATCCTTACTCAGTAACATTATACTGACATGTAATTGCAATTTACTATGCAGCAAAAATGATTCAAGAGACTAATGTACAGTGTCTATTTACCTTTGTATAGGCAATTGCTTATGTTACTCCACTTTTAACATTTGTACTTGGGTAAATGCTTATGTATGTATGTATAGGAATGTCACCATGCAAGATGCTGCTGCTAGCTCAGGTTTTTTTTTAATGAAAGGTTTTTTTAAAAACATAAATAACTACTTACATGGTTTCCTAGTATCATTAATCATTAGGGAATTGCAAACTAAAACCAAACTGAGATACCAATCCATGCCTACTGGGATGGTTGTAATAAAAATAAAATGGAAAATAGTAAGTGTTGAGTCCATTGAGAAACTAGACCCCTCCCACATTGCTGGGGGTAATGTAATAGTACAAAGATTCAGCAGTTCCTCAAAAATGTAAGCATTACCTCAGTACCGTACAATTCTGTATCTAGGCATACAACCAAGAGAACTGACAAACATGTTTTCACAAAACCTGTACATGAATTTTCACTGCAGAATTACTAGTAATATCCAAAAGGTATAAATGGCCCAAATATTCATCAGTTGATAAAAGGATAATGGTGTTATCTCATGATGAAATATTTATCCACAAAGCAAAATGAAGCACTGATACATACTACATGATTAAACTCTGAAAATATTATGCTAAGTAAAAGCAACCAGTCAGTCATAAAAGACCACACAGTGTATGATTATATTTATAAAAAGTATCTATATAGACAAATTCATAGAGATGAAAAGTAAATCAATCATTTCTCCGAGCTAGAGGAAATGAATGCTAATGGATAAACATTTTTATTTTTGGGGGTAATGAAAATGTTTTGGAGTTAGATAGTGGCAATGATTATATACACTTTTTAAAAGTTGATCTGATGTGTATTATTTTTCAATTAAGAAGGAAAAAAAAAACTCAAGGGTCTACTTAATTTTAATATAAGGAAAAGGTAAAATAAAACTTTTATTTATTGTTTAGTTCACTAAATTTATCCTTACTCAGTAACATTATACTGACATGTAATTGCAATTTACTATGCAGCAAAAATGATTCAAGAGACTAATGTACAGTGTCTATTTACCTTTGTATAGGCAATTGCTTATGTTACTCCACTTTTAACATTTGTACTTGGGTAAATGCTTATGTATGTATGTATAGGAATGTCACCATGCAAGATGCTGCTGCTAGCTCAGGTACAGAGTATTAAAATTATTTTGTGAAGATTGGTGGTTATATTAAAACTATTGTGCCATTTTACCTCAAAAATAATTTATCCTTACTGATATGGGCATGGTGGCACATGCCTATAATCACAGCTGCTTGGGGGGCTGAGGCAGGAAGATCCTAAGTTCAGGGCTAGTCTGGGCAACTTAGTGAGACTTTGTGTCAAAATAAAATTTTAAAAAGGGCCACAGATGTAGATCAATAGTACAGCATTTGCCTGATATGCACAGGGCCCAGAGTTCAATCCTTAGTAATCCCTCATACATAATCATTCTTACTGAGCTCAACCTCACAGTATACAATTAAATCTTACCAACTGCCAGCACACACATATATAGTGAACTGCTCTACATTCTACAGGAGGCACCTAGCTTTGAGTACTCTTTACATTGCACAGTTGTTCAAATGACTCTGTATCATCTCGGCTCTACAATGACCAAGGGTCAGAGAAGCTGCCAACCATTGTAAGAATGCCATCATGTTGAAAGCACAGGCTCTGAATTCAAGATATCTTGTTTCAAATACTGGCTACACCATTCACACTCTATGATCTTGGCCACATGATTATTAAAACTTTCTGTGCCTTTGTTTCTTCATCTAGAAAACAAAAATAAGAAAAGTAAGTACAACTCAAAGGGAGGATTGAAGATTAAATAAGCTACTTTATGCTCACCTTAGTACCTGATACACAGCAAGTACTTAATAAATGTTAGGAGCTATTTTTGTCTTCATTAGACTGTAGGGGACCCATGAGGCAACCGGGACTCAACTGTCACACTAGATATGGAGAGTGATTCCCAAAGTACCCTCTCTTCAACTCTGAGCTCCAATATATTAGGTACAGAAAAAGAAATCTGCTATTAGGAAAGCACTTCACATTGAATCTTACACACAGAAAACACTCAGATTATTTGTTGATGAGGGGATAGGGGAAAATTGGAGAAAAAGAAAAAATTCTAGGGAACAACTTTTCAGGGAAAACAGACTGACTGAGAAGACCAATTTGAAATTCTTTTTAGAGTACTGTAGCTCATTTCATTACAGTTATATAGGGAATCAACAAGATGTTCACTATTATCTGTTAGTAAAAGAAAATCTTGAACAACTTAAAAGTTGGCTTTTAAATAACTGGCAAATGGAAAAAGAAAATAAAGAGGATTTCTAATTGTGATATAATTAATTTCTCTGTTTTGCTTCAAGGAAGAGAAAAAGTATCTCCTTACATAAACATCAAAGGGATTTCTGTTGAAACACCACAGATGAAATAACTACAGTGCAATTTCTACTTGTCAGTGTAAAGCTAATCAGAAAAATATTGTGAGAACTTGAAAAATTTAACTCTAGCCTCTTATTTAAAAAAACACAAGCAAAGCAATGACAGTGACCTCATTCTGGTCAATGAGATATAAAAGGGGAGATGTTTTTCGGGGAATTTCCTTTCAGCAAGAGAGTGTACAAAAGAACCTGTTTTCTGCTTTCTGCTCTGAGGACTTTCACAATGGAAAGATCCTCACATTGGCTGCAGTCTTGACAAAAAAGACAAATGAACTGCACAGATCCAATGAGAGCCTATAACTTCAGTGTACAACCAATATTACTATAATTCATTCCTTGCTTCTTTTTACATTAAGGGAAAATAAAATCCTTATTTGTTCTGGTAATATGTTACTGGGGCTTTTTTTTTTTTTTTGCAACTAAAAGCATTTAAATTTTTATAGATCTGAATTTATTCTCTAATTTTTCTGATCTTTCCTTTAATATTTTTATCTTAATTTTTATTGTGCTTTCTGAAACATTTATTTGCCTATACATACATACATACATACATATATACTTAAATCTGTGGACATACACATACACAAATTTTGTTTTTGAGACAAGGTCTCACTATGTGGTTCAGGATGACCTTGAACTCACTGTATAATCCAAACTGGCCTCAAACTTGTGGCAATCTTCCTGCCTCAGCCTAGCAAGCGCTGGGACTATAGGCATGCACTACCACATCCAGCCTCACACAGATTTTCTCCACTATAATAATTCTAATTTCTAAGAGCTTCTTTCTTGTTGTTACTTTTGCTTTTTCAGAGCTGTCAAGTAAGAATAGATTGCTATATCTTCTCTTAACCCTGATACTAAGTATAATCATTTTCAAGTTTTCTTCTGTTCTCTGCACTGTTTCTGAGTTCCTATGGTCATATTTGCTCTTCTTGTTCCTATTAAAAGCTTTCCTCAAATATAGTTATTCTTAGATATTCATTCATATTTAAGAGTTTAAAACTCTTAAAATGCCAATACTAACAGTAACAATCTGCAGATCCAGTGCAGTCCCTATCAAAATCCTGATGATGTGTTTATGGAAATGAAAAATCCTAAAATTTATATTAAGTTTCAAAGGACCCTGTATTGGACAGCTTTCCTGTTGCTAGGACAAAATACCTGACAACTGTCACTTATCAAAGGAGAGAGAGGTTTCAATTTGGCTCATAGTTTCAGAGTTTTTGGTCCATGACTGGCCAGTTAGGTACTATATTTTCTTTTTTTTTTACTTAACCTCTCTTTTTCTTCACCTATAAAATAATGATAACAAAAATTCCTACAACCTAGCATCTAGCTTAAAGTAACTGTAAGGATTAAATAATAAATATACTTACTTCATACAGTACCAAGCCAGAATAAACTAAAGGTTTGTGTTAATGATCAGTGTTCAAATAGTAAAAATCAGGAAGAGTGTGTGTACAGAGGAGGCAGTGAATCATTGTCATAGTGACACAGTGACTGATGCAAACGTGTTACACCTGAGAAGCAGAAAGTTCACAAGACAGAAATGACTGACAAACTGCTACTTATATGGGCTACTTCTGATTAGCAAGTATTTATCAGTTACTCATTAGTCCTTTGCTTGGCTTCCTTGGATATTAAAGGGAAAGAGACAGCATGCGATTCTAGAAAGCACACTAACTAGTTAGTATCCAAAAATAAGAATTCTAGTTCTAGTACTGATACTAACTAGCAGTGTGATCTAGGATCAGCCATATAAGAAGAGAGAGAGCCGGGTATGGTGGCGCATGCCTGTAATCCCAGCACTCGGGAGGCTGAGGCAGGAGGATCGCTGTGAGTTCGAGAACAGCATGGGCTACACAGTGAGTTCCAGGTCAGTCTCAACTACATAGTGAGACCCTGTCTCAAAAAAACCCCCCAAAAAAACAGAGAGAGAGAAGAGAGAGAGAGAAAAAAGAATGGTTTATGTTTTTTTTTTTTTTTTTTTTTGCAACAGAGTTTCACCCTATACTTTAGACTGGACTTGAATTTACTATGTAGCTTAGGCTATCCTCAAAATCACAGTGATCATCCTGCCTCAGCCTCCTGAGTGCTGGAATTATAGGCCTGTGCCACCACGCCCACCTAGATTCATTTTAGAAATGCAAACTTGCTTTCTCAGGAACTAGTAAATATTTGTCCTTTTAAAAGTAATTAGATTACTAAATCAGAAATTTAGTGAGGAATCTCTCAATCTGTGCTTTAAAAACTCTGTCATTTGGAGCCAAATGGTAACCTGATCATTAATAATTTAGGGTTATTTCCACCTATAACTAGTGATTATAGCTGAGCTATCCTTTATTATAGCAAAGAAGTGAAGGGTAGTGGTGAACAGTGTGGGCTGTAGAACCTGACTGCCTAGATTCCACAACAACTTGCTGGCTGTGAAACCTGATTGATGTCCAGAGGAAACTAAAGCCAAGGCTTATCTGTGATTACGACACTACCTACTATCTCATGGGATTGAGAACAATGATTAACTCTGAAAATTTACAATTGTGCTCCAGGCTTGACACAGCCTCAAGGTACTATTAGAAAAGGAAGGTAACTGTCCGGCTATTATAAAATTATAAACTTTATCTTTTATAAGGAACCAGAAACAAATTCTGATGGAACTTGTTCTAGAAAAGATATTTTACAAAACTGCCCCATTTTGCTATGGTAGCTAGTTTTGCTGATCACCAAACAATGTTCTCTCTCTCTCCCCGCTCTGTCTCTTTTCCTCTCCTCTCCCTCTCTCCCTCCCCTCTTTCCACCCTCCAGAGTAAAATTCTAAAGTTTACAGAGGACTTCTCCCTTACTTTCGATGTTTACCAAAGTACAAAAAAATGTGCATATATTATAATAAGTAAAACAAGACTAAGAAGTATAATAAAGGCAAACTAATTCTCTTTTAATATATTCCTAATCTTACCTAACTAAAATAGCTAAGATTACCAGTACAAATGCTTTTTTTTTTTTTTTTTTTTAATTGTACCGGGGATTGAACTTGGGACCTTGTGCTTGTGAAGCAGTCCACGGAACCACTGAACTAAATCCTGGGCCCCAGTACAAAAGCTTTTTTTTCTGGTACCGGGGATCAAACTCAGGTCCTTGTGCTTGCGAGGCAGGCAGTGGAACCACTGAGCTAAATCCCCAGCCCTACAAATGCTTTTTACAAATTACTTTTACCTTGTTTCAAAATGACTGCAAACATGATACTCAAAAGCTTACCTCCAGGTATATTGACGGTGGATTATGCTCTCCACCGAATTTGTCCAATAGGGCCTCTATGTGTTCCTGTGTCAACTTAATCATTTGTTTGATATTCCATACCTAAAAAATATTTTAAAAGAATTTAAATAAAGATCACTTAGTATATGAATTAGAACTTTTTTACATTATACAAAAATGACTTTATTTTCTCCCCCTACATACTACATAGCTAAACATTAAGACACTGCGTTCCAAATTTGCACTATGAAAAATCAACTTTCAAGCCATTTCAAGTTGTAGAGGTTTTGCCAGCAACTGACACAATCTGACACATACAGAGAGTAAATAAGTGGCAAAGGAAAACTGAGGGGCCCATAAAGCATGGAGTTTCAAATACAATAGAGAGAAGCAGAGTAAGGTAGGCTAGAGTATTGAAAAGAAGCAAATTTACACCAGACTAAAAATCATTCATAGTAACTGCTAGTTGACATGGCCAAGAAATTAAGTTGTCCACAGTTATACATCCTTTGTTAAGAATTAGAAAAATTTTAATGTAGATAATTACCCAGTATTCCTTAAAGTCTGGAACTTAAGAGATCATTTAGTACAGTGAAGTTTCCCCTTTTTATTATTAAACCTCTTTAACTTTTCTCCTAGTAGTGTAATTTTTTACTAGTATTACTATTTATTCTCAACTACAGGAAATTTAAATAATTCATGAGTATTCAGAATAAACCAAGAGAATCTGTTTTCACTTCTCCACAAATCTCAGGCCCTCCATCAAAAAGCAAATGCTGCAGGGGATTTAGCTCAGTGGTTCCACTGCCTGTCTAGAAAGCGCAAGGACCTGAGTTTGATGCCTGGTAACAAAACAAAAACAAAAAACCACAAAAAGCAAATGCTGCTCACAGTTCAAGTAAGCATCTTTTCACATTATCTTTAATGTATGCAAAATATATACATATATAAAAATATATTAATACTTTTTCACTAAATAACAATGCCTCAGAATTCTTTCCATATCAGTATCAATACTAATTTTTAATGGTTGTATTAAATTTATGGTTAAATTGAATGGTTGTGTTAAATTAAACTAAGGAAACATTAACTTCATATTTTATGTCATTAATAATTTCAGTAGTCTCTAAGCTTCAGTGATTACTAGCGGTTAGGTGACATAGATAATTTTAAGGAATCAATATCCAGATCCTCAACCTCCTTTTGTACTCTTCCTAACTCATCTGTTTGAGAACTAGTTTTTCTTGCCTATCTTCTCCTTTAAAAATCATCATTTTCCACTTTATAAAAGGCAAAGTTCTTATCCTTCTCAAATATGACAAGATATACTATTCTGAGATATATAAACTCCAAAGTACCCAACAAGGAGACAATTAAAAGAAAAGAGAAATCCTTTGGAAAAAAAAAAAGATATAAATTAAAAGTAGGACCTTATTTTATCAGCGAAACAAATTTCTGCAAGTTTCAGGACTTATTCATTTATCCAGCTGGCCTTTATAGAATTCCAAAGTCTAGTGGTTATAATAGGGGCATTTACTAACATGTTTGTTTTAAGACATATAAAAAGTTAGATTTTTTTTTTCTGGTAAAAATTTCAGCTGAAAATGAGAACTGCCTTGCAGATAATATTATGATAGATATTATCTATAAACTAAGTGATATTAATCTGCAGTGTTAAGGTTTAACCAAAAAATATACTTAACACAAATATAACACATAGGGCCAGGGATTTAGCTCAATGGTTCTACTGCTTGCCTCACAAGAGCAAGGTCCCGAGTTTGATCCCTGGTACGGAAAACAAAACAAACAAATATAACACATAGTAGAAAGTATGGCCTTTTAAACTACTTATAGTCATAATAAAAGGATGTGATGCCAAGGACATGCACTTGTAGTCTCAGCACAGGAAGACACCAATTTAAGTGAAAAGAAATGACAAAGGGAGGAAATTACAATTTATAGAGGGAAATAAATGCGCCAAAAGTGTCTCAAGACTGTTGGTTTATTATATTTTTAAGGGATATTTGGATTGTTTAATTTCTCTCAACCTCAAACAGTATTTCAGTGAATGATGCTGAACTGCTTTCTGGAGAAAAACTAAAAGTTTTCCTTTTTGATCTCTAGGTACAAGATTCCTGGATTGAAATATATAAATATATACAGACATATTGATCTATATAGTTTTTTCTTTTCTGTTTTTTTTTTTTGTGGTGCTGGCGATTGAACTCAGTGCCTCACAAATAATAAAGAAGTGCTTTACCTCTGAGCCACACCTCAGGTTTAACCAAAAAATATACTTAACACAAATATAACACATAGGGCCAGGGATTTAGCTCAGTGGTTCCACCAACTGCCTTGCAAGCACAAGGACCTGAGTTTGATCCCTCCCCATTAAAAAAAAAAAAAAAAAAAAAAAAAAAAAAAAAAAAAAAAAAAAAAAAAAAAAAAAAAAAAAAAAAAAAAAAAAAAAAAAAAAAAAAAAAAAAAAAAAAAAAAAAAAAAAAAAAAAAAAAAGCTTTTGTACTGGGGCCGGGGATTTAGCTGAGTGGTTCTGCTGCCTGCTTTCTTTTTCATGTCTATATCCAACTTTGTATATATACCTGTACTGTAGAGCTGGCTGTGGTAGTCATACCTATAATCCTAGCTATCTGGGAAGCTGAGGCAGGAAGACTGCAAGTTCACGACTAGCCTGTGCAACTTAATAAGACCCTGCCTCAAAAATATTTTTAAAACAATTTAACAAAGGGCTATGGATGTAGTGGAGTGCAAATGTCCTGGGTTCAATCCTCAGTACTTCAAAACGAAAACTAAACTATAACCAGAGATCACGTGTCAGTCTTTTATTGAAAACTAATCTCAAGTAAAAATCACTACTGATCCCAGTGGATCCCAAGGAAAAATCACCCAGGTCCTTACAGAAGTGTAGAAGATATTACATGATTTGGCTCTGCTATGTGCTTATCCCCATCTTCTACTCAGACTCCTCTCTCTAATTACTCTTGGCCAAATTGAATGAGCCAAGTATCCCAGGGCAGGATCTTTGTATTTACTATTCCTTCTGCCTAGAATGCTCTTCCTCTAAGGTTTCTACAAGATTTGCTACCCTACCAAGTTCACTCATCTTTCTACTTCAGTTTCACCTGATCAATGAAGCATCCTCTGACCACTTATTTAGGTTGATACCAACTGCCTCTATCCCTTCCAATCCCCAGCAGTACACAGAAGCAATTTCTGGTCCTCTCTGTTGATTTTCTTTGTTCTGTATCACATACTGTATATATTTTACTTGTTTATGTTGTTAACAGCATGCAACCTTTCCAATTCCCAATAGAATGAAATTCAGAAGGACAGAGATTATTTATATCTATATCTATCTATGACAGAGAGAGAGAGAGAGAGGGAGAGAGAGAGGGAGAGAGAAATAGAGGGGGGATGTGAAAAAATGTATACACACTCCAGGAAAGAAAAATAGCATAATTTTATAATATATAGTATATTATATATAATAATATACATTATAATATGCAATAGTATATATATGTGTGTGTGTGTGTGTAT